TGTTGGAAGAGAATAAGAGAACAAAAATAAAATTTAGAAAACTCTCTTTATTGCCGACAAGTTTACATCAAAACCAGATACACACTTACATACAAAATTAAGAGACACAATCTCTTCCTCCTTGTAACTCTTTAAACTAAATAACTACCGTTTCTTCTCCCACAAGTTACAACGATTAAACACATACTTAAGTGTATGTATTATAACATAATACATTTAAACTCAATTATAAACTAACATTATGTACCTTATGTGGAGAAGGAGGCAAAACTGCTAAAGAACGAGAAGAGAATTCTCAAGATGTACCCCTACTCTGCTAGCATGGGTAACCGATGGGAGTCCGTGAACTTCGAGCAACCTTCGTCATTTGACACGACGGCTATGAATGATGAGCTCAAGCGTTCTGTTAAGGGAGATCTTCGGTTCATTAAAAGGAAAGATTTCTACAAAAGAATAGGGAAAGCTTGGAAGAGGGGTTACTTGTTGTACGGGCCACCGGGGACCGGGAAGTCTAGTCTAGTGGCAGCTATGGCTAACTACCTCAAATTCGATATCTATGATCTCCAGCTCGCAAGCGTGCATGGGGATTCTTTTCTAAGGAAGATGCTTCTCAAAGTTAAAAGCAAATCGATTCTTGTCGTAGAAGATATAGACTGCTCTCTTGATTTGCCTACAAGGTTGCATCCTGCAATGACAACCCCTGGTGCTCCCAAGGTTTGGTCTTGACAATCAATGGTTTTGTTTTATATCATTTATTTTGTGCAACAATACATATGGGTCAACAGCCTTGACATTATCAGGGCTTTTAAATTGCATAGATGGGTTATGCTCGAGTTGTGGAGACGAACGCAAAATAATATTCACGACGAACAACAGGGAGAATCTGGATACCGCATTAATCAGACCAGGCCGTATGGATATGCACATTTACATGGAGATTCAAGATATTGGCGTCTAACTACTTAGAGCATCATTATCCGTGACGTTCATTAAATTAGTTAATTAAATAAATGGGTTGAACCAATAAAAACAAAACAAGTGTTAAAATTTTTTTGACACCCGATTCTAAAGTCTCCACTTGCAGACACATTCATACTCTTTTTCATCTTTTTATATTTTTTATATTTTGTTTACTGCAAAGAAACTCTATAAAATGTCACCAATACATATGCTCTAAAATCTCACGATAGTGATGACACTCACCGTCTCTACCCAGAAATAAAGCATATGATTGATGGAGAAGTTTTAACCCCAGCTCAAGTCGCGGAGGAACTAATGAAAGATGAAGATGTTGATGCGATGCTTGAGGGTTTGGTTAGGGAACTATTGTGTTTACTATCCTCTTAATAGTAAAACCGACTGTTTAGCCTCATCATTCCGTTCAAAGATGATTGAATTTTTTTATGTATGCAACAACATCAAATTGGGTAACCAATAAATTTAATGAAATGATTGGTTGAAAAATATATATATGCATAACCATACCAAAAAAACAAAAAAAATAGGCAAAATTGTAACTCACAAGATCACGACACGATTCTATTATTGACTAAAAGATGACATGTGTTAAAAGTTAAATTTAATTAAGAAGGTAAAATTACAAATGCAAAATTAACAAAATAATTATCAAGTAACTAACCATAAGGAAAAATTAAAAATTTTCTATCAAACTAATTAGAAAAAGAAACTTTCTAATAGTCCAAATTAAATAGATAAAAAAATATAATCATTCAAACTATTTATAAAAATTTAAGAAATAAAATAAAGAGACTATAAATCTTAAAAAATAAAGAGTGGGGAGAAAGTAAAAAATTTCAATCAAGAAAAATAAAATGTGAATGATAAAACAAAGATATTATATAAATTGGATAAAAAATTAAAAAAGACTATGAAAATCTCAATTTAAAAATTTAAGGTATGCACAATCCTCTTAATATTAAGACCGACTGTTTAGCTCGATCATCCTGTTCAAAGATGATTGAATTTTCTTATGTATGCAACAACTCCAAATTGGGTAACCAATAAATGAAATTTATTTTAATGAAATGATTGGTTGAAAAAATATATATATGCACAACCATACCAAAGAAACAAAAAAATTATAAGCATATTTATTTCGTCAATCAAGTTATAGAATATCACAGAGAAAATAAAATTTTATACTTATGACGGTACTGATATTTTTCAATGTTAAAAACAAAATTCTATAAAATAAAAATTTATACAGGTAAAAAAAATAATAAATAATATAATTGATATTAAAATCCAAGAGTGTCTAAGGTTTGACGAGTATAGATCTCTATGAGAAACAAACCAATGACATCAATGATATAGATTTATCAATCATGGATATGTGATAATTATAAGATATTATATTGAGTTTTATGATAATATTTACATAATTTTTTTAAGTATATAATATTTGATTTTTTTTGTGATTTTATCTCATAATTAATATATATTTATAATGGATACGAATATTTTATTCACTTATTTATATATTTATGGGTTTTCATGCTATGAATTGCGACATAAAACTCATGTGTAAACAATATTTCCACATATGTTTGTAATTCAGTAGGAACTAACTAAAACTTAAATATTTCTATCAATAATTTTTAATTTATTTACCCGCCTAGTAACGCGGATCCTAACTTCTATATTAAGATATCGAGATATAAATTAATATTTTATGATTTAAGAACAATGTTTAATAGTATTTCAAAATAGTTTGATAATTCAACG